TTTTTTTTTTTTTTTTTTTTTTTTTTTTTTTTTTTTTTTTGGACCAGGGATCAAACTTTAGACCTTGCGTTTGTGGAACCACTGAGCTAAATCTACAGCCCGAGAGGGTGCCTAATTCTTATTCGGTACCTATTTCAGGGCCAGGGATGGTGGTGTGCGCCTATAATGCCACCCACTGTGGGACACTGAGGCAAGAGAACTGAAAGTTCAAGTCCAGCCTCGGCAACGTAGCAAGACCCCGTCTGGAAAAAATAAAATAAAAGGGGTGGGGATGTAGTTCAGTGTGAAGGTCCTGGGTTCAATCCACAGCAAGTGCAGGGGTGGGGGCTGATTTCAAAACAATGGTTACAATTAATGAATTTCATTCCCATTTGTTTCCCAGAACAGAAAAGGGGCATTAAGTGTTTGGTCAAAATTAGGGGACCTTCTGGCATTCCCAAAGGGAAATCTAACTAAGGAGATTTTTCCAAATACACAAGGACAAAATGAGAAGGCAGAGACTCAGCCCTGAGAGAGGCTGCAGACTGGAAAAGTGAACATTAGTAATATGCTGTCAAGGGGGACAGAGCGGGAAGTACAGAGACCCAGGAGTTCACTGTATTCTAGACAAGGACTGATGATGAAAGGAGACTCACACGCCAGCATAAAAAAAGAAAAAGGAAAAATCTTATTACAATGACAAGAGCAGTTTAAAATATTATAATAGTTCAGGCGGAAAAACTACTGAGTTCTCTATGGAGGAACAGTGGAAAAATCTAGACCCAAAAAGCTATATAGTGTACGGTTCCATTTATATATCATTATGGAAAAGGTATAAATATAGGGCAGGAAATGGGCAGCAGTTATCAGGGGCCTGGGAGGAGAGGGAGTGACAAGAAAACAGCACGGAGGGGTGGGGCACTTAAACTTGCTGTGCTGCTCCACACTTGATGGTGCTGATGCTTTTGCAGTCGTGTTTATCAAAACAAAGACGCAGACATTAAATAGGGTAAACTGATATTAATTTTTAAAGAAATTTTTTACTTAACCAAAGAAAAATTTTTTTTATTTTAAATGAGTATCTAGGGCTAGGGGTGTGGCTCAGTCGTAGGGCACGTGCATACCATATACAAGGTCTTGGGCTCAATCCCCAGCACAGCAAAAAATTAAAAATAAGTGGGGCCGGGGATTTAGCTCAGTGGTGCTGCTGCCTGCCTTGCAAGTGCAAGGTCCTGAGTTCAATCCCCTGTACCGAAAAAAAAAAAAAAAAAGTGGATATCTACAATTTGAAAGAAAAAAGTTGTGATTTTTTTATATCAGGCAACCTTTCCCTTGTAAGTACAAAAGACAGCTATTCTCAAATATGCACACAAATCTATTACAAAAACACTCCAGGAAACCTATTTTTATAAAGGAGAAGACTCACCACCAATGGAGCCCTATACACTAGCTAGAAGCAAGGATATTTGTATGGCAACACAGATGGTCTTCTTTGTGGGGGTTGAGTGTCCTAGAGGTTCACATATACAATAGTAAGCTCTACCAGTGAGCTACACCCACAGCTCCCAGATAGTCTTTGGTTTCTTTGCTTTTTTTTTTTTTTTTTAATCAGAGATCAAACTCAGGACCTTGTACTTGTGAGGCAGGTACAGTGCCACTGAGCTAAATCCCCAGCCTTCCTAGTCTTTAAAATAGTGTTGAGTGGGAAAGTGAGGGTGAGCTCTAACACAATAACATTTGTATAAATTAAAGATACAGGACATCATCCTCCACTATACACCTTGTAAGAATCACACCTGAAAAAAATAATTTCTAAGAAACAATAATGATAAGAAAAGGAACATGCACACGTGTTGAACATATTAGGACAGCAGCCAATGGAAGATGGAAGGAAGAAATGATTCAAAGAAACAAAAACATACATATATGCAGGATAGGAGTCTAGCTAAACCAGTGAAGATCAACAAAGATCAAACTGGAAAAGATCCACTACCACTAAGCTCCAATCACTAAGCTCCACCTAGAAAATTAATGACTTTAATGATACACATATGCCAACTCAGCTGAATCAAAAAGAACGCAGAAAACTCATGCACTCAACTGAAAGACTTGAAAACTACAGTTCCTGCACCAGATTTGGACCTCTGTCTATTTCTGAATGGCCTTCCTGCAAGCTCGGAATGGTTTTAGTACTTTTTTAAACAGCTGAGGGCAAAAAGCCAAAAAGAAGAATATTTTATAACAAAAAAAAAATACTGTATATGAAATTCAAATTTCAGTGTCTAAGAAGTTTTATTGCAACACAGTCAGGTTCACACATTTACACTGTGTATGGATGCTTCCCACAACAGCCAGGTTGAAGAGTTGTAACCGTAGAGCCTGCAAAACCCAGAATGTCTACGATCCGGCCATTTGCAAAACAAGTGCGCCAAACCCAGTTATAAAAGGACCCACAGTCATCCTGGGAACGCAGCTGTGTGGTATTATTGTCAGGTGGTTTCTGTGCAAGGTCCAGATGAGCAGAGCACCCCTCCCAGACCCAGCAACAGGGTTGCCTCCTCCAGGGCAGGGCCAGGGGACACCAAGCCACCCAGTGAAACTCTCCTACACAGCACATGGATGACAATGGCAAAGAGAGACTCTGTGCCCATGGGACTTCAGAACAAAAAGCCTTTATCTCCTCCACAAAAGCAGAGTTACAAAAAGCTGGAGAGCAGCCATTTTCCTTAGTAAGCAAGTTGAGGAGCAATTTCTGCCCTTCAAATTCATATAGGAAAACAACCCAAACAACCTCAATTAGAAGCAGTTAAATTTTACAGCCCTGCATACATACGGCCATTGGAGAGAGCAAGGTATTTACATGAGCGGACATGGAAGTAGCTGAAAAAAGCAAGTTGAAAGACATTATTATTCAATATTTATACATATCCATCCTATTTATTTCACTCAAGGGTATTGTCTCAATGTGCCCATTTAGCCATAAATGTCTCTAATTTATCATTCTTTTCTTTTTTTGTATCGGGGATTGAACTTGGGTCCTTGTGCTTGCAAGGCAGGCGGTGGAACCACTGAGCTAAATCCCTGGCCATAATTTCTCATTCTTTATGGTTGAGTAGTATTCCATTGTATTTTTTTTAAAGCCACACATTTTCTTTATCCAGTCTCCAGTTGATGGGCAATTGGGCTG